GCAGCTGATTAATTAAATTAACAAACACAGGTGATTCAACTTATGTTTCGATGAAGTAATTAATTGGATTAAAGTCCAGAAGGACCCTTTTGGTCTTCGAGGAGTTGTCAATCTTTGAGTGCTTCGTACAAGTGTGCACTGATCCTCAGTGCATTGTGTGTGTGCACTGATCATGGGTGTATCGTGTGAGTGTGCACTGATCATGGGTGTATCGTGCGAGTGTGCACTGATCCTGACTGCACCGTGCGAGTGTGCACAGTCCTGAGTGTATTGTGTGAGTGTGCGCAGTCCTGAGTGTATCGTGCGAGTCTCCCCAGTGCTGAGAGTATCATGAGCGTGGCACAGTCCTGAGTGTATCGTGGGTTTGCGCGGATCCTCACTGTGCCTCTGTTGTTTCTGTCAGCTGATCACAGGCCTGGCAGACGAGAAGGTGCGCTGGCAGGAGACAGTGCAGAGCCTGGAGTTCATGGTGGATAATGTAGCTGGAGATGTGCTGCTGGCTGCTGGATACGTGGCCTATCTGGGGCCCTTCACAGTGAGAACGCACCGCCTTTGCCCTTAACACATTCTAGTGATCCGATTTTAGATGTAAAATGTGGATTTTGGCCATTGTTGAATTTCCTCTAAATGTCAGACTTCATGTATGTTTAAGATGTGAAAAAGTCACTTCTTGCTCCACAGGGGTTATACCTCGGTCCTGTCAGGTGGTCTGTAAGGGACAGTGATAAGTTTGGTTATGTACGCTGGGAACTATGATAATAGTAGAAAAGTTACAAACAATTGGAAGCTGCTGAAGTAAAACCAATTACTGCTCCCTATGTGTAGCAATGCATTGGTCAGGACCCTACGCAGACGGTATAATCCGGAAGTTAGTGGAAACGAAAAACGGGGAGGAGACGCCGAGGACCCGGGCAGGTTGACAAACGGGGGGGCGAGCTGTCGCTGGAGAGGAAGGCGTGGCAGCGGTGGGGGGAGGTTCCCCAGCGGTCGCTGATGCCCCCTCTGTGGTCTTTCTCCCCAGGGCGAGTACCGGGCTGCCATGGCCGAGGAGTGGCTCCAGGGGTTCAAGGAGCTGGGGGTCCCCCACACCAGTGAGCCCAGTCTCATCAGCACGCTGGGGGACCCCGTGAAGATTCGCTCCTGGCAGGTCAGCGCTGGGGGAGCCCGCAGTTTGGGGCTGACTGGCAGTGAGCACACTGTGCCCCAAGAATTTAAACAGATGCATTGAATCGTGCTGCTTTTATCTCTTGATATTTTCCTGCAAACATGAATGAATTGCTTATGCACAGATTCATGGTATTTTCTGTTCATGTACCTTTTAAAAGTGATGAACGTCCCATTGCAAGAATAACCAAAAACGAGCAGATGTAAGTGATGCAGGACCTTATGATGCAAGAATTCTTAACACCGTACGTGACACGGTTTTCAGACTTGACACAATTGACTTAAAATATTTGTACGAGGTGCTAATCACTGTGACGAGCTTCTTTTCTAGGTGAATTTGTAAACTTAAGTTACTGATTCTGCTAAATGCACTCCTACAGCTGTCCTGACGTTGCACGCCCATGTTATTGAATGAGCTAAGATCAAGGCACTGGCTCCAGCTCCTCGGGAGCTAGTGAGAGACCTTTAGGGAACGGAACGTAACGCAGCACTGAGGCCTGAGCTGGCCTGGGAGGCTGGAGAGAGGTGCCGAGCCCCCGGGCGCTGGCTCTCAGCCTGCTTGCCTGTGCCCGTGTCTGTAGATCACAGGGCTGCCCAAGGACACGCTGTCGGTGGAGAACGGCGTGATCGCGCAGTACTCCCAGCGCTGGCCCCACTTCATCGACCCGCAGGGACAGGCCAACAAGTGGATCCGGAACATGGTGAGACCCGGGGCTTGGGGCTCGGCGCCAGCTTGCTCACTTGATGTGCACCATCCAGGTGGGGCTGCACACGGGGGGGGTGGAGCGGATCCCCATTACCTGTAAAGTGCTGTGAGTGGGGTGTCCAGAAAAGCGCTATAGAAGTGTCAGGAATTATTATTATTATTAACTTCACTGAGCCAATTACCTGGTCAACTGAGCCGAGACTATCCCAGTCTTCTGCCCATAACCGAAGGCTGAATAAAGTCTGAGGGGTTGGGATTCTGCTGCACTCCTCGTGAAGGAGCAAACATTCCCTGCCTCTGAAGGAGAGGAGTTTTTGGTTGATTTTCAGGAGCTGGATTTCCAGCCCTGCGCAAAGTGAAAACAAGCTCTCATGTCTTAACCGATGCAGAATCAGCATCTCGCCACCTGCAAGCACAACGCTCCACCTCCACTCTGGCCACACCGCCTGCTCCAGATTAAATTAATTAGGTGGGAGGTTTTCCCACGGTGAAGGAAAGGGATGGGTTGTGTTTTTGGCTTTGACAAAAACTGTGTCCCTCGTCTGTTTCGACGTTAGATTCTGTCGGGTTTCGAAAACTCACTAAATCCGGACTGACCGATCAGAGCCTGGACAAGAGGCGGGCCGTTATTGTTGGCTTTGTTTTGCACCCACCCCGGCAGTGGTTTCAGGGGCTGTCGACCTCCAGAATGTAAAACCCCCAGAGAGTTCAGATCTCTTTCACAAGTGTGTCCGGTCCTGCGCGACCCCCGTGTGACCTGTGCCCGTGTGTGTGCGTGTGTGTGCGGCGGCGGCGGCGGCGGCGCGGCTTCAGAGGAAGGACAGCGGCCTGGACGTGCTGAAGCTGAGCGACCGGGACTTCCTGCGCAGCCTGGAGAACGCCATCCGCTTCGGGAAGCCCTGCCTGCTGGAGAACGTGGGGGAGGAGCTGGACCCCGCGCTGGAGCCCGTGCTGCTGCGGCAGGTCAGAGCCGCCGACTGGCCGCCCCCGCCGTAGAGCACGCCCGGCTCTTACTGGCTCCCGCCGGGTGCAGAGATCCGCGCGGCGGCTGCCTGCAGCCCGGCTCAGCAGCGCGGGTCTGGGTGTTTTGTGCTCCGCAGACCTACAAGCAGCAGGGCACCACCGTGCTGAGGCTGGGCGACACCGTGATCCCGTACCACAACGACTTCCAGATGTACATCACCACCAAGCTGCCCAACCCCCACTACTCCCCAGAGATATCCACCAAGGTCACGCTCATCAACTTCACACTCTCTCCCAGGTAAGGGCTCCCAGCCCCTCAGCCTGCTCCTTCCCATGCGCCTCGTCCCAGGGCTGGGCTCACCTCCCTGAGGTCACTGCGCTCCTTTCATCCAGAAGGTGATGTCATTCCAGCCCGCATGGGTGTGGTTATTGCGTGGTGGAGGTCCAGTTGCTTACCGATTTACAATTCTCAGACACCAACGCTGAACATCAGAGTCCAGTCTGTGGTTTCCATTTCCCCGCGTTGCATGGTGGGTTTAGTTTCTTCTCAGATGGTTTTGTCTCGGTCTCTACTGCTCTGTAGAGAGCTCTTACCACAGACCCGCACAGTAAAGATACAGAGAAGGTCTAGCACTCAGAGATTGCTCCTGTAAGCGGGCTCCCCCTGTCTCGGGCAGTGGGCTGGAGGACCAGCTGCTGGGCCGCGTGGTGGCCGAGGAGAGGCCCGACCTGGAGGAGGCCAAGAACCAGCTGATCGTCAGCAACGCCCGCATGCGGCAGGAGCTGAAGGAGATCGAGGACCAGATCCTGTTCCGGCTGAGCTCCTCCGAGGGCAACCCCGTGGACGACGAGGAGCTCATCAAGGTGCTGGGGGCGTCCAAGGTCAAGGCCGGAGAAATCAAGGTGCGCCACGCTCCGCGCGCTACACTCTGTGCCACTCTGTCCTGCACTGTGACGGTCCCAACGCCCACCCGGACACCGCACTCACGCTCCGTGCTTCATCCAGAGGGAAACACCAGAGGTTACAGCTCCTGCGCTTGCAGAGCAGAGCGTGTTTGCGAGTGCTTGCTCTTTCTCGG